ACAGCGGCGGTGGCCAACTGAAATCCGTCCGGTAGCGCGGTCCAACGTCATGCCTGTGAACTGCGTCTCTGGAAGTCCGTGCTCGAGCTCCTTACACTGCAGCCCGTCCGCAGCCAGCTGGGCGTGCAACTTCTTGGCCATGCCCCTCGCGACCCCGTCGTCGGTGCCCACAACCCCCGCGTTGTCAACGTAGATGGCGGTGCCGAACTTGCCGTTGGTGATGTCAGGGGCCTGCTTCTTGTCGAACAGGAAAGCCTCTGGGGCCACGCCCGCTCTGAGAGCACTGGCCGTCGCCATGGCCTGACAAAAGTAGAGAGCCCAAGACCAGCCCATCGCCATGACCTCCAGGTGCGGAGTGACATAGCCCGACGATGGCAGGTCAAGCTTGCTGGCTAGCTTGGGGTTGGGGTTGGCGCAGTGGAGGTGCTTTGCAGACGCGCGAGGTAAGGCGAAATACTCGGAGACTTCAGGAGGGGCATTGCACCGATAGAAGGCGCTGTCGACGTCCATCTGAGACAGGATCAGATCATCCGATAACCCAATCTCCACTGACGCCCACGAGGCGGGCGCGGGGAACCTCGGATGCGCGGGCTCCTCGAACAAGTCGTTGGCCGCCCTGGTGCCCAGTATCACCCGCAGCCGCCCGTCCTTCCTCGCAACGAAGAAGATGCCAACCGCGGCAGGGGCGCCCTGGCGGATGCTGACCAAGTTGGCCTGGAGCATCTGCAGAATGAAGCTACTGTAGCGGACCTGGTCCTTCACAAGAGCAGGATCACTATAAGGTTGAATATTGGTAGCAGCAAGCGTAGAGCCCGAAGAAGCCTCCCTCGGCAAGCTAGTCGAAATAGACCTCCAGCGTTGTGAAGCCAAGCCAGACAGCACCTGCTCGCCGTCCGCGAGGCCGCCCAGTGAGGGCAATGAGACCAAGTCAGGCTGGAAGCTGCGTCGAGGGTCGCTGTCAGCGTAACCAGGACGACTGCCGCCAAGCTCGCTCAGGGCTTGCGCGGCGGTGCATGGCGGGGGCGGTATAGCCCTGTAGGTGTCCGAGATAATCTCGGCACTGCTGCGCTGAGCAAGGGGCTCGCCCAGGCCTGGTGGAGGGTGAATTGTGCAACCGAACATCTCGCTGAGGCACTGCACTGCCGAATTCGCCCAGGCCTGCCAGTGCCGACGAACATGCGCCCGACGGCGCACTGCGCGGCGCTCAGAGGCAGGGTGACACAACTGATCTTCTTGAGGAAACGGCGGAGCCATCGGCAGTAGCTCGCGTCCTATCGGCATCCCTGATGTCGGCGACTGGGCGGGAGGGCCAGCCGCCTGGGCGCTCAGGCCCCCCCCCCCCCCCCAGCCCACGCACTGGCAACCGCTCTCGCCTCTCTCTGGGCTTTGGCGGATGCCTTGGCGGCGGCTCGCATGGCCTTGGGTTTCCCCTTCGGCCCGTCGGGGTACTGCAGGAAGCCTGCAGCTGCGTCAACTGGTGCATGGTGACGGCCAGCGGGCGCGGCCTGCCCGGCCTGTAGCCCCCCCCTCCTCGTTGAGCTCACGCGACTCCATTGCGATGGTGCTCGCGCGGTGGAGCTCTGAGGCCACGTACTCCTCGAGGAGAGGGCAGATCTTCAGCTGGCCGCGCGTCTCGCCACCCCCCAAGTGCAAGAACTGATCAGCCAGAAGGGGGTCGACCTGGCTGTCCGTCTTCAACAACCGATGCTCGTGGCGGTACTCGGCCAGCTGCGCCCGTCTGAGCGGCAGCTCCATGTCAATCAGCTCCGTGGCGTTGACTTGGTCAAACGTCATAGCGTACTCCACGGCCTTCATGACCGTCTCGTGGTCCGACCCACCAGGGTCCGCAATCGAGAGGTTACTTGTCGATGTCCACCACGAGTGTCGAGCTCTCGGATGACAGTTGGTCTGGAGGGTGAACTGCACGCACCACTTGGTAGTCCTCGACCGCGAGTAGGGCCAATAGTCCCAGGCCGTCTCCGTGACTAGGTGGCCCGCAATCTTGAAATCCTTGAAGCGCTTGCCTAGTCGATCTCTGGTGACCTCCAGGATGCGCGCATGCAGCTCCAGCTCTGCGTCGTCGTCGCCAGCCGCGCCTGTTGAGAGGTTCCGATCTGCGATCAGCTTGAGCTGGGCACCCTGATGCAGTAGCCCGAACTGCGGACCAAGGAACCAAGCCTGATCGATAGGAGAGCCGAGTCGCACGATGCTGGGCCCGCCGATGTCGCACCAACGATGACCAGGTGCTGGCAGGCGGTCTAGCCCACACATGACAGGCAGTTCCCTGCGCCTTCAGCGAAAGAGCCTCGTCGGGCGACAAGCCTGGGGGCGGCAGAGGCGGCGCGACAGTGACCTCGGATGTCTGGGCCCCAACTGGTGCTAAGCCATCTTCCTCGGCCTCTACCAGCCTTTCGTCGTCCTCGTCGGTGCCCGCGTCCAGAGCGGGAGTTGCTCGACCCTGGTTCTGAGCCCGACACGATACCCGAGATTTCTCGTACTG